TCCTTCCACAGATCTTTCCAGTGGTCACAACATGTTCTATTTTCCCTCTTCTCATAACAGGGCCGAAAAATGATGACTGTCTCCTTCTCATGTCTGTGATAAGTTGTCTTCGGGCTCCCGCCTCCTTCAAAACCCCTTGGTTGCTCTTTTTGGCTGTCCAAAGTATTCTAAGCATTGTTCTGTAAAACCACATCTCTGAGGCCTCTAGATCACCTACACCAAATCACTTAAAGATCACCACATCACCTACACCAAATGTTAACTCCCATATAAAAAAATGAGTATAGCATAACCCCATTTGCCACTACTAGCATAAGAAGGGCCTTTACTTGCCACATCAACTACAGAGTGCTGAATGGTCTATGAAAATAAAATTCATAAAAAAAACAAAAACAGGCACTTTACTTACTACAGTGCAGATCATTTGTGGCAAATCTCTGTTGTGAAGAACCATTTGTTTTTCCTTGTCAATTTTTTTTGCTTGAATGCTTATCTGGATAAGAGGAATTTCTGATGATAAGAACTTTTTTTTTTTGGATCCCCTGTGAGTTCTCTTTATCAAGTCTACACTGTTCAGTAGTATTCAGTTTCTGTCTTAGCCAATTAAATAAGTTGTACTTAGTCTGAGCATTAATCCCTACCTGGGGCAGACTTCAGGTCACGTTGTAACCGTCATGGGGCCCCAGTATTACGTTATGGTTGAACGGGGCCATGTAGGATTCTCATGCTTGAGGTGTTCATCCTGCAATCCTGGATGGGACAAACCACAATCTGTATTTAAGCCTGTAATTTCCTGTTGTGAGCAGCAGCTAGTCAAATGCTTAGAATGCAGGTCTCTCATTCGGGAGACAGGTCTAAATCCTCAATAAGATGATGGAGAGTTTTTCTGTCAGGGCAAATATAAAAATCCTAACCTGCACAGTTTGTGGCAACTGCACTAGCCATGCGGCCCTAAATCCCTAGGACTCAAAACCATCCTGTTCTACTCCCCTGTAACCCTTTCAGTTCCAACATGGTCACCATGGGCGCCATGAGGACAGTAACAACCGAGCAGGTGTACTTTCACTAGACTAAACTAACAACTATCGGTGCCTTAAAAAAGAAATCAAGTTAAATGTAATATAATGCATAACATCCAGTGACACAGTGTGTTGAGTAGGGCAGAAAGAATTAACAAGTTGTACACAGACAGTAATGTCCTGTTTACTTCGGCCAAGGTGAAATGCCACATAAATTACAAATCATATAAAGGAACATGAATGGCTGAATAATTATTCTGAAATCATCAACTGCTTCTATAAAAAGATATCTAACCTCCACACGGCTTGATCAAGCAGCTTTCTTCAGCTCGGTTATCCAGGCAATCCTCAAAAACTGAGTTTTAAATGTGAAGTTCAATACAATGACTTTTCAGGTCCTTTTAACTCTAAGAAGAGCTTGCATTTACTGGCCTCATTGTCAGGTATCAGGTCCTTTTACACAATGTCACTCCCATCACGGCCTGCTTGAAAGAAACTCAATCCCTCACCAGTTGCCTTGGCTCTTCTAATCTCCTGCATAAATTGTCTCCTGTGCCGATTTGCATGCTGGCCAGCCCCAGTCTGTCTTTCCTGGTGCCCTTCATTACTGTTCTCTGCAAGCCACAACAATGTTTGATATGGCCAAAATATTTCAGTTTTTGAGAAAAGATGCTGTTTATGAAACAGTGTTCTTCTATGTTCAGATCTTTTAGAATCTGCACTGAATATTTTTTTTATGGGGTTCTTGGTCAATGGCACTCTATCTTTCTGTAGCATTTCAGAACAAAGTCTCGTTTTTGAAGTTAGCACAGACATTGTGATGTCAGCTTAGTTTGTATATGTTAAATGTTCCTGAAGCAAATTTTTCACCATTATTTTACCAATTCTGCAACTAAATTCACCAGTTTCTCTTAACAATAACTTATTGAAAAATTTGTTTTTAACCCTCTTTGGTCCTATTTCCTCCTTCCTACCCACTGAATCTGAAGTAGAATTTCCGAGACAATCATCAAAAGAACAAAACCAAGCAGAATGTGCAAGGCTGTTTCTGGAACTTCACATTTAGGAAATGGTCAAGATGAGGTGTGGGTTGGTATGTTTTCTCTGTAGCTGATTTTAGCTATTTCCCAGGCAATAGACACCAACAATGTCCAGATGAAAACCCTCAGCTCAGAAGTATCCTGGTTAAAACCAACATTACATTATGCCAGAGTGATAATTCTTTCTGATGTGTCACAGATGAATCTTTCATAGTGAAATATTTGAGAAGTCATGGTAGATGAGTGAGTAGACAATTGCCTGCCCGAAGGCTTTGGGCATAAAATGGATACCAGATAAATTCATGAGAATTAAAAATTGGCCACATCATCTACCGAGTACCAACTGGTGATTAGCAATTAGAAATGATTATCATCACAGCACTCCGGACAGATCCATATGTGCTCCGATCTCCTCCTCAAAAGCTCCACAAGTGTATAACGACTGATGATGCCTGTACTGTGTTGCTCAATGAAACGTCTTATACCCTTAGTGAAATGTTCATTTTTTGCAGCTCCAGGCTGCACCCCCATGTCCATCCGTCTAGACAGAGATATCATGTCATGTCCTTAGACGTGCTCCTCTGTAAGGTAAGTTCAGCGCATGGCATTGATAACATCACTTCTGTCCAGTACTTGACCAGCCATAGCAACGGCAGTGTCAGCAAGACAGTCTGCACACTCGTTCCCTTGAACACCCGCATGACCTGGCACAAAGATGAAGGTTGGGGCAGCTATTCTTGAAGTGCTTAGTGTTGCAATGTAGTCATGGCTCATGAGCACAAACACAACAACATGCCGCCATATTGGAAGTACCAACTGGTCTATAAAAATATAGTCCAGCATTATATGATAAAAAATGACACATGATGAGTTATGTATCTTTTTTTATATTAGCTTTAAATAGTGATTTCTTTCACACATCAGTTTGATACAAAAAATTATATTCAATTAATGAATATACTATAACTGAAACTAAAATATAAAATAAGCATAATTCTTGACAAGTACAACTGACACAGGGTTGGGAAATGGGGAGTTTCAATTCTACTGAAAGCTACAAATAACTTATTTTTAATCTTCTTTTTCTGCCTTTCTATCCCCCAATGGAGCATAGGCCCTCAACCAACTCACGCCAAGTCGTTCTATCCTTCGCTATTACATGGAGCTCTCCCCATGTCCTCCCAATCTTTCTAACCTCATTCTCCAGCTCTCTTCTCCATGTGTTTTTTGGCCTTCCTTTTTTCCTATGCCCCTGTGGGTTCCAATGCAAAGACATTCTAGTTATGCTGTTCTCCTGTTTTCTCAGTGTGTGCCCTATCCAACGCCAGCGTCTTTTCCTCACCTCCTGATCCACTGGAGCCTGTTTAGTTCTCTCCCAAAGTTCTACATTAGTTATTCTATCATACCAGTTTATTCCCTCTATTCTGCGCAGGCACCAGTTAATGAATGTCTGTAATTTATTAGTAATTGCCTTCGTTGTTCTCCATGTTTCCGCCCCATACAATAGTACTGATATGACATTAGAATTAAAAATTTTTAGTTTAGTATTTCTTTTAATTTCTTTTGACCTCCACAAATTCCCTAGTGCTATGAAAGCCCCTCTTGCCTTTTGTATTCTTATTTTAATATCTCTATCATTTCCTCCATCTTTATCTACATTACTGCCTAAATAGGTGTACGACTCCACGTCTTGGAGTGGGGTGCCATTTAGAGAAACCACATTACTATTTGCCTGATTTATTCTCATTATCTTTGTCTTTCCTTTAGGGATTTTCAGACTAAGCTGCTGTGATCTCGCATTAAGTATATTTAATTTATCTTGTATCTGATTCCGTGAATGGGACAGAAGGGCAATATCATCAGCGAAGTCTAGATCATCAAGCTGTTTTGTAGGGTCCACTGAATTCCATTCTTGGTGTTAGCAGTTACTGTTTTCATAGTCCAATCTATAGCCAGTTAAAATAAGAGAGGCGACAAAAGACATCCCTGTCGCACACCTGTTTTTATTTCAAATGCATCTGTAAGCTTTCCCTCATGAAGAACTCGACATTTCATGTCTTTATATGTTGCCTTTACTAATTTGATAATTTTCTGTGGGATTCCATAGCGCCCCATCAATTTCCAGAGAGATTCCCTATCAATGCTGTCAAATGCTTTTTCATAGTCTATAAATCCAATGTAAAGTGGTGAGTTCAATTCAATGCTTTGCTCTATTATAATACGTAATGTGGCTATCTGATCAGTACAGGATCTGTTTGACCGAAAACCTGCCTGCTCATCTCTTAGCATTTTATCAATAGCATCTTTTAATCTTTCCAAAATAATTCTACTTAATATTTTTCCAGGAACTGACAGCAACATAATTCCTCTATAGTTTTCACACTCCTGTAGATTAGTTTCGAATCGCTTTATTTTTAATAATTGTACAATAATAATTTTACAGTGACTTCTACCGAAAACTACTCAATAAGTTAGTTGTAATAATTTACAGAAACAAAACAAGAAAGGACAAAAATAATCACGTAATAAATACTCAGACAAAAATGTTAACACAAAAGGACACTATAAAAATGTGAGAAAGAGCTAGTTAATCTTCAAATTTGTCTGAATCTATGAATACAAAATATGAAAATATATATTTTAAAATATATAAAAATGAAATTAAAATAAAAAATAAGCATAATTCTTAAGAAGTACAGCTGTAGAACTGACACAAGGTTGGGAAATGGGAGGTTTCAATTCTACTAAAAGCTACAAATAACTTATTTTTAATAATTGCACAATAATAATTTTACAGTGATTTCTACAGAAAACTACTCAATAAGTTAGTTGTAATAATTTACAGAAACAAATAAACAAAACAAGAAAGGACAAAAATAACCACGTAATAGACAAAAAAATTTAACACAAAAGGACACTGCAAAATGCGAGGAAGAGCTAGTTAATCATCAAATTCATCATCGTCACTGCTGTTATCATCTGATTCTGGGGAACAGCCCCTGACTCCATGACCAATCTTGTTTAACAGAGTGTTGTGAAGCTGACTTCTGACATCACCACCGTAGGAAGAAGAGGAAGATGCACTCATGAGTTCATTCTGGTGATCACCTCCAGCCTGATCGGTGTCTACTTTCCTGAGACTGACACCTGAACGAATCATGTTGAAAAACACCGCTCGGGGATCTGGAAGTTCAAAGTGAAACTGAATGAAAATGATAACCAGCTGTTTAGATAGTGTAAAAGTAAAGAACCCTTTCGCCCGTGTTTAGGCGTATAGGTATATAGGGCTAGATCAGCAATTCTCAACCTGTGGGTCACGACCCCTCTGGAGGTGCGAACAACCATTTTACCTGGGACGCCTAAGACCATCAGTAGCAACGAAAATAATGTTATGGCTGGGAGTCACCACAACATGATGAACTGTATTAAAGGGTCGCGGTATTAGGAAGGTTGAGAACCGCTGGGCTAGATCCATATTTTATAGATCAGTCGACACTCAGTGGGATGAGGTGGCCAGCATCATGATCATAGTCCCAAAAGACATCTTTCGTTGAGCCAAAAGTTACTCTTGACTGCCTGATCAGCTCTCTACACTTCTGTCAGTCAGTCTAGGTTTAGGTTTATTCAGCGGATCAACATCATGGCATAAGGGTAGTAAACCCATAAGTGCTCCGTTCTACTTGTAACCCAAGCCTGAGTCTGAAGAATCTCAGCGCAATGCATGAACCACGTAGCACCGGCGAGGATCTTGAAATGCTTAGGGAAGATTTTAAACTCCAAATTTTGTCCAGGCGGTACAGTTAGGCTACTCTTTTCTATTTGCAACTGCAATTTTTCATGTGTGCAAAAGTACATCCGGGCGACTGATCTCACTACCCAGAGAAAAAGGGAAATTACCAGAAGTGCATGTGAAAAAACCCCAGCCTTCACCGGGGCCGGAACCCATGAACTCTATCACTCGAGGCAGATGCCTTGCCTCGAGATCACGCAGCAGTCAGATGCAATACCTGATGTCTTTCTTCTTCTTCTTCTCTTCCACCTTTTACCTCAGCGAAGTGTCGAGGGAAGATGTAACGTTTGTTGATGAGCTCTGTCAAGAGCGCTATTAAGACTTATGTTCATTTCTGTAAGGCTTTCTAAATGCCATCACTCCATATTTTCGGAGGACTTCTACTCGCTCTATACCCGTTTTAGTGTGGCAGATAGTACCAGGGCATTCTTTTTAGGTGTCCAAACCATTTCATTTGTGGTTCTTTGATGACTTGTAGGACTGATTTATTCCTAGCATTCGTCTGATTTGAGACTCAGTCTTTCCTTGAAACTCCTGCAGCTCTTCTAAGGCATTTCATCTCTGTTGTCACAATTTGACGTTCACTGGAGGTTGTCTGTGTCCAGGTTTGGCACTTATAGCATAGTGTTGGCCAAAAAATAGTTCTGATAAGATTCACTTTAGCACTCTGGGGTATCTGCTTGTATGTCAACAGGGGAGATAGTTGCCCCATCAATCGATTAGCTTTGGCACATCTCAAGCTTTCTCTACACTTGATGTTTGCATGCTTTAAATCTGCTCATTCAGGCGAATTCTGTATCTAAGTCTTTCTTGGTCTGCCTTTTCTAACTGAGCCCAGTAGTATCCCTTTGGAGAGGCCGGCAGATTTCTTGTTTTGGGCATGTTCTTACAATTGTATTTTAATCATTTCACCGTTTTTTAATTTGCCAATGCACTGAGTGATGATACAATGATTTTCATCATTTGTGATGTGGTCTCTAAGATATACCTAGGATCTTTCAAAAGGATCCTATTTCAAAACTTTTGTTTCATTTTATGACTTTAACAAACAATAAATGCTCACCTGTATCCTGAGTAACTGGTGATCTATCTTTCCTCTCTGTTGCAGGCCTTAACCTTGACCGGGAAGCAAGGATGCTATCAAGGTCAATGTGTGCAGGCTGACTTGATTGTTTGCTGGAGTCCGTCTCTCCGACCTTTTTAAGTATACCAGTACCTTCACCAGGACTGCCAATGCCATTAGTAACTTTCAGTACAAATGGCGGCTGTGATGGTAGTTGAGGAGGAGGTGGTGGTGGTGGAGGGGGAGGTGGCGGGGGAGGTGGAGGTAAAGGGGGATGTGACTGAACTGTTGTGGAACCTGGAGACTGGATGGGCTCAGGGTGTCCAGGCGATGAAGCAGTCGGAGAACTATCCCCTTCTTTCACTAACCCTTGACCAATGTCTTTGGCTACATGTATTGACACAGGTATGTCTTCTGTTTTCCTATTAACTTTCTTCTGTGGCTGTGTCCAAGGTTTTTGAACAATTTTTGACTTTTCTGTGGTACTGTTCTTTCTGCTGCTACTTGCACTACTGGAGGATGACCTTGATGAAGGTTGGCTAGCTGGCTTCGATATTGCCGGCTGCTTTTCACTGCCCTTTTGATATCGAAGAGGTTTAATTGTTGCAGGGCTGGCATACTTCTGTTAGAAGATAATAATAAACTGTTGTGTGTGAATGCTAAATAATGGTTAACAGGTGACTGAAAGATAATGGTCAACTGTCTGATGTTTTGATGTGCATATGCGGCTAGACTCACATTTTTACAGGCCTGTGGTCAAAATCGCGCCAGCCACCTTAACTTCCCAGGACTTTACTTGGTACCCATCTAGAGCTGAGTCCACCTGGGAGCCATGGGCATGTTTATAACAATATAAACAAGTAAAAAATACAACACAAAAGCGTGAATGGTAAATGTATACATTCACATTTACACATCACACACATGAATAACAACAACCTGCCTACCTAAATATATACATGCACGGAGAGACAGGCAGAGAAAGACAATGGATGAAGGTAGATAGAGAGACAGAGAAGCGATTCAGCATATTACTATTATTTGAGTATTATGCTTAGTTTAGCTGTATTATATTAGTTATTAACTTATGTCTTTCTTGAAGATACTGAAATGAATGTGGACAGACAGCTCAACAGGGATTAGACAACACTGTCCAAATATGGGATTGAATTTTTTTGGTTATTTTAAAGCTCCACCTCGGCTGTTGTCAGAGCCCTATTATAACCTAATGGTTGAACAGGGTTTCTTATACTTTTACCTGGTGGATTCTCATTTGAATGGTGGCACCTTGTGTCACCGGGTGTTTATCCCTCATTGTGCAGCCCAAGTGGGGTTGAACGCCACTAAGCCTAACCAGGCCCTGTTACTTATATATAGTAAATAATGTAAAGAACCTTCAGGCATATTGAGCATATAGGGCTAGATCTATATTTTATAGACTAAACACACTTGACCTCGGCCGCCTTTACCTCCTAGGACTGCACCTGGTACCCATTCAAGGCTGGCTCGACATAGGAGCCAAGGCTACTTATATAGACACTTATATAACAAGGAGGAGACTAGGAATGAGAAGAGAGTTGCTGAAAGAAAGATAGCATAATTTAATCCATTAAAAAATATCAGACAAACAATAATAAGATGTAATAGTTTACAAATCTATTGTTGCATGACATACACAATATATGTCATTCTGGCAAACTACATACACACCTTCTTCTTCTTCGCGTTCACCAGCTGTAAACTCTGGCGGAAAGTTCTGGTTGTTCATCCACTTCTGGATTGCAGTCCTATTTCAGAACCTGAGCGTTGTGTGTGCATCCATTTTACAGATCTGACTAATCTGTATGCAGACTGCTGGTTCCTTGCCTCTCAGGCAGATGCACTCCGAATTTGAAGGAAGCTCAAAGTTTGTCGACTCTTACGACATGCTTTTAGGTAGGCAGTTGGTCTATTCTTGTTTTCCCTACAACAGGGCTCCGGAACTCACACAGGAAAAACACATACCATATTATATTTCTTTAATCTTTCCACTGTTTTCTTCCGCTCTTCAAACACTAAAGATTGTTTCTCCTTTTCTTCCTCTTTTCGCTGGTCTCTCTTCTAAAAATATAAACAAAGTTATCCACATTACAGTACTTAATGCAGTGAAAATATACATTTATTTGGGTCTTTTCTCTCTGCTCTGTGGTGTAGAGGCACACACACATACAAAAGAATGTTTCAGAAACTGCTGAAAATGCATGAGCAAGCTTTACAGACAGTACAGCAGCATTACTTCCACGGAAAAAACACTGATTTGTTAAACGAAAAAACACAGCCATAACCCTTTAACCAGGCAAATGCTTTTAAAAAAACACACAAAACTCATAGAAATTTCCATGAAAAAATCCTTAAAAACAAAACCCTTTAAGCAGGTAAATAATACATTTTTGTTTCAAAATTTATCATCACCTTCATGTGACCTGCCAACTGGCATAGGTGTTAATGCATCTCAACAAATCTCTGCCCCTGTCCTCTGGATTAGTTCCACCAATGTTATTCCACCGCGCCATGCCGCAATCGATCCGTCATTTACTCTCTTGGTCTGTCGCTCCTTCTTCTACCACTGATCTTCCCATTCGTCATAATTTTCTCCAAAGCCTCCGACCTCATCACATGATTAAAACTTATAAAGATGTATTAAGGGAGCAATCAATAAAAAAAAACAGTGAAGCATCAATTAGCTCTTGAATGTGATGCAGTCAATTTCCTACTGGACAAATTTTACTTCCTATGACACTTCCTGTATCAAATTTAAGCTGAGTCGACCTGTGAGCCAAGGCCAATAATGAAAAAAAAAATCTGACGACGAATTAGAAATTAAAGCTTCGTTTTGCAGGTAAGCGTCTAGCCACCTCACTACTTTGGGTAATCCCTTGCTCAAAAGATGCCAATAACTTCTGAACCACTTGTTCCTCCACGTTTTGATAAAGAGCATCTCGTCAAGCTGTTTGGGCTCATCTGGCTTAGTCTTCATTGTGTCCTTTACATCCAAATTTCCTGCTGTCACAACTATCTAATCTTCCCTTTCTTATGATGTGTTTAAACCTATAAATCAGAAATGGCTAACTGTAGAAAGCAACATGGGAAAAAGAAACGAACCTTCTGAATTTGGTGATGAAGTATTTGTTTTTTCTCTTCCTCTTCAGTTTCAAGCTTTTTTGACCGAATAGAACTCATAAACACCTCCTGAAAGAAAGAAACCACAGGCAATTTGAAAAAGTTCTCTCACCTTAAAGCGTTTAATAAATGTTTAAAAATTTTCTTTTCTTTCAACTGCTTTCAGTAACATTTTGTGGGATGATGGTTCTTGAGGCTGGGGATTAAGGGTCAGATAACTCTCGCAACTGACACAAACTGCAGGTTAGGATGTTTATCTCTGCCTCCCAACAACAACAACAACAAAAACAACACTTTAATCACCTTAGAGAGAATCTGAAACTGAGTTTTCCATAAGAGAGCTCAGTATCCTAACCACTTGGCCATCTATTCCTCATACATGTAGAATATAAACTATAAAAAATTTTGGTTATCTTTCTGCACACTGATATTTAAAAGTGCATTAGTTTAGAAGTAATCAATGGAGTTTTACAACAAAAATCCACCAGCAAATAAGGAATGTCTAATAAAATGTAACAGTAACAATGCTAATATCTATGGCAGGGCTAATAAACTGGTAGCCCGTCGGCCAGTGGTGGCATAACAAGTAGCCCCCCCCCCCCCCGGATCATTGCCAGATGTATTGTATTAATGGTCTTTCTATGCTGGGCCTCTGGCCCATGACAACCCCCATTTTAAAAACTTTGGCTCATGACGAAACTTAGCCCTGGTCTATGGCTTAGGGGTTACGAACACACTTTCAAAATACTGATATCCTCTTCTGTCCTCTTTTGCGTTGGCCCTTAAAAGTTGCTGTGGTCTACAGCTAGGCTACAACATCTGTGTCTTTCAGTTCAACAAATCTAATTTCGGCAAACTTATTTAGTCACCTTTTCTGCCTTAAGGAGCTATAAGGTCTATACACCCCCCCCCCCCCCCCCAATTGACTTAGGACCCATTTTTGGAGATACTTTTGATATAATGGGTTTGATTCGGATGCAGATAGTTTGGTAGCAAACCACATTGCAATATTTTTCTACAACGGTGTGAGCAATAGCTGTTCTTTGAGTGCAATAGCAAACCTCTTCTTCTTCAAGTCCATGCCGTGTGGTGTTGGTAGTCATAACTATCCACAACCTTCTGTCTCATGTACTTCCAATTAACTTTGACACAGATTATCCTCCATGCCATGATGTCAAACTGTCCAGCATCTTTTCTCTTCTTCTCCCTCTGCCTTTCCTCACCTCTAACTTTCCTAATGTTATCATGTATTCCAGTTTTCTCCTTCTCATTACATGACCACAAAATGTAGATTGTCTCTTTCTGATGTGGGCAATGAGTATAACGGCAAACTACGGAATGTAAAACTGCCTAGTGAGCCACAAACAGCTAACAAATGCTGGAGTTTGTTTGCAACGTCATACAAAAGTTATGCAACATTTTTAAAAAAATGTATAAAAGTAACAACACTATAACCACTGACAGACACTACCTTCTTTGCTCTAATTTTTGACTGGTGCTGAAATACTTTTGTTCTTTCTTGCTTGAGTTTAGTCAGCTCCTCGTCTGTAACAGCTGAAGAATTATCATTTTCATCCTCAGACAACTGCTCAACATCTTCCACAGCATCATGAAAAACAATCGCCTCCTCTTCAGCATCTGTAATAGTTTACATCTCATCAATATCATCATCAGGGCTTTTGTCTCTAGAAAAATGGTGCCAGTACTCACCTCAATGTGCCTGTCACAATAGCACTTAATAAAAATCATGCCTAGAAAAAGGTACCAGTACTGAGAAATGTAATATACCACCAGAAAAAAAATGCTATTCATGATCATCATTATGTTGTGCTGTTATATGTCACATAGGGCTCACAGTTTATTCTGCCACTTCATTCTTCTTCATTGTTCATTCAAGTGGCGTAATGGTACTGTGGGTGTTTACAGCACAGCTGTGACAGCTGTGCCTTTTGGCTGACACATTCAAATTCTTCAGATATTTGTTTTCTGGGCTAGTCCTTACGGTTTAGTTTCATGGGACTTTTTCTTCTTTCTTTCTTTCTGACCAAGTTGTAGCCCAGTGTCATGGTTTTCTGTATCTCTCTTGCGCTTCTTGGGTGATGGATTTGTTCATATTTTTGCATTTTCAGCATCTACTTTTTGGTCTTCCCCTTACCTTTTCTCCAAATGTTCTGTTGTAAAAAGTTTCATTTGCAGTTTGGTCTGGGCTACATTCTTACTAGATGGAAGAGCCCGGCTCTCTAGCGGAATTGGCTAAACCGGATTTCGCGGAGACCGGGTGACGTACTCCTTGTGGTCCGGGTTCAATCCCGGGGGTAGGCAGGAAAGCCACATTTTCTCCCAGATTTATTGTATTTACAATGGAATCAAGGCCGAAAGGTTGCGATATCCATAATACCGAGCCTAAGGGTTAACAACTCATGGCTTCTGGATACTAAAACAAACAACAAACAAACAAACTAGATGGAAGAATCATTTCATTTTTTTTGGGGTCAAAATAATCGAGATATGGTCTTATTCCAACTTTCTCTCTAATGCTGGTATTCGTAACCATGTCCTTTCTTGTGTTATGAACGACCTTACATATTTAACATGTAGTTATTTTCTGTTCTAGTGCTCTATTCATTGTCCATGTCTAGCACTGATAATATAAACTAGGGATGAAGATGCTACTAACCACTTGCTGTTTTGCTGGAAGGGAGACATTCAGGTGTCTAAGCAGTGCGACTAGCTGGTAGGTGACAGCATTTACCCTTTGTACTCAGCTTTATTGAGTTCTAATCCTCCATAAATATGCTTCCTGGATATTTTCATTCTCGTACTTGTTTGAAGTACCATTAACATGAAACGTTACATTATTATGTTTCCTGCCTATTCTCATTATCTCAGTTTTGTGGTGTTCATTCTCATACCATACTTTGTGCAGGCTTGATGTAAGGAAACAATATGATGGTGTAAATTATGTTCTTGGTGGTGTATTAGACACTGAAAAAGTTCACTCTTCAGTGTCTGTATTTGCCCTATGTGAAATTCTTTCATGTAAGTAATGAATGGCACTGGTGAGAGGACACATCTATGTCTGACACTTGATGAGATAGGGAACCAATCTGTCATTCCTTCTGTTATTCTTACTGTGCACTGACCATCATGAGACACTAAGTGACATTTCAAAGGCTCCGTTCTAACCTCTGCAACTGTCACAGATTCTTTTCATACCAGATAATAGCAGCTACCCAGTGGTGGTAACAACGAAATCATAAACTGCTATTTTCACAGAAACCAAATATACACCCTTGTTATAAACAAAATAGTTATTTAGGCTTCTTTAGTATAATTTCACTAAACATAAGAAGTACAATCATAAATGAGATGTTCATTGGTAAAAATAAAGAAAAGCCAATCAATCATACATTATAATGGTTATGGCATGAAGGACAGTGTGTTGGCAGTTACACAAACACATAGGCCATGACCTTAGGATGGGGTGAGAAAGAGAGGGGGGGGGGGGAAGGGGAAGGGGGCGTTACTGTGAAAAAAAAATGGCCCTTTTAAAGGCCACTGTAATTTACCTCAACTTGGTACCTCTTTTTTTACATCCAGGGAGTAGAATCCATTTAATTCTCTACTCTGTTTGTATTTATTGATTACTCATCATTATATACTTCCAAATTATTTTATTAAAAAATGGGCTATCCTCCTAATAACACATGAGCAAATAAAATGAAGGAAGTTGCAGGAGATGCGGTAGCTGTTGCCAGTGAGTCCCAGCCATCTAATTTAGCCCCAATCCACGCCGCATGAGCGGCGTGGGGGATACTCTCGGTGGTGGCGGAAGTTGCTGGAAGTTCACAATTTGGCGGTGGCGTTATAGTCCCCGGAAGTGCGCAATTGACACATGACTGAGGCCCTGTTAGGGTATATTTTCTGCCTCGATAATTTAGGACCATTCATCTGAGGATAGCCAAAAAATGTAAATCTAAAATGTTTGTAAAGATTTATTAACGACCTGCGTAAATAGTATATTGAAAAGGATTTCTCAGGATCATAGATTTTTTCTCCCATGGGTTTGCAGGGCGAAAGGGTTAAGAATCAACACCACAGCATTCGGGAGACTTCCATTAGTGTCCCGTTTCTATGTTTAGCAGCCAGAACATAGTTTTGATTACAATGGTACCTGAAGCAGCGTTAGTGTATGTGCATGTTGCCTTTCCTCTCAGTACTCTACCAGAAGCAGTGTCAGTGTGTGTGCAAGTTGCCTTTCCTCTCAGTACAGAGTCTACCAGAAGCAGTGTCAGTGTGTGTGCATGTTGCCTTTCCTCTCTACCAGAAGCAGTGTCAGTGTATGTGCATGTTGCCTTTCCTCTCAGTACAGAGTCTACCAGAAGCAGTGTCAGTGTATGTGCATGTTGCCTTTCCTCTCTACCAGAAGCAGTGTCAGTGTGTGTGCATGTTGCCTTTCCTCTCTACCAGAAGCAGTGTCAGTATGTGTGCATGTTGCCTTTCCTCTCAGTACAGAGTCTACCAGAAGCAGTGTCAGTGTATGTGCATGTTGCCTTTCCTCTCTACCAGAAGCAGTGTCAGTGTGTGTGCATGTTGCCTTTCCTCTCTACCAGAAGCAGTGTCAGTATGTGTGCATGTTGCCTTTCCTCTCAGTACAGAGTCTACCAGAAGCAGTGTCAGTGTATGTGCATGTTGCCTTTCCTCTCTACCAGAAGCAGTGTCAGTGTGTGTGCATGTTGCCTTTCCTCTCTACCAGAAGCAGTGTCAGTGTATGTGCATGTTGCCTTTCCTCTCAGTACAGAGTCTACCAGAAGCAGTGTCAGTGTATGTGCATGTTGCCTTTCCTCTCTACCAGAAGCAGTGTCAGTGTGTGTGCATGTTGCCTTTCCTCTCTACCAGAAGCAGTGTCAGTATGTGTGCATGTTGCCTTTCCTCTCAGTACAGAGTCTACCAGAAGCAGTGTTAGTGTATGTGCATGTTGCCTTTCCTCTCAGTACAGTCTACCAGAAGCAGTGTTAGTGTATGTGCATGTTGCCTTTCCTCTCAGTACAGAGTCAGCTAAATCCTCTGGTCACCCCTGCTTCATTATTCTCTCCAGACCGTGATGATTTCATGTTTACTCCCCCCCCTCCTCCCCTCAGACCTCGACTATATCTAACCTGTCATGCATCAATTTACCATCACATGATGCAGAACCAGCCATCCGGTCTGTCTTAAATGAACAATGTTAGTCCCTCAAACGGAGCACTCATGGGTTACTACCCGTGTGCCATGATGTTGATCTGTTGTTCAAACCTCAAACCCTACAAATATTTAAGAAATGCTCATGTTACACATCTGTTTCATTCTTTCCACAACATGTTTTTTTCTAAAGAGAAAAAAAAGTTACCTGATAGCTCCCTTCTTCGTATATCAATCTTTATGTTTATAAGCTTGATTTTTTCTTTTAAAATGTCCAATTCTATGTTGCATATTTTCTCCTGCAGTTTGTTTTTTTCACCGAGTAATTTCTTGGCTTCATAATTGTCCTTTTCTGTGTTTTCATCAGGAATCTGGTTTAAAAATTGCGTAGAAATTAAAAGGCTGCCTTCTAATTCTTAACTAACACAGGTACTTTAATTTATGAAATAAAATTAGCATGCAAGAAACGGTGTGTAGTGGGTAGATCAAGATGTTATGAGCTTAGTGAGCCCTGGAGAAACACGCTGATCAGTCACTTTCTGAAGATACCAACTGATTTCATAATTACTTTCAAATATCATTATCATCACACTGGAAATGATCCATAAGTACTTTCTGATATGCTCTTGTTATGCATTTGTATAATTTTAACTCTCTGAATGAACCCTTTAGAGTTGTAAAAATCCAAGGGTTACTGAATATTTAATCACTTCTTCTTAGACCCACCACCACCCGAACAAACATGTTAAACATATGCCTGAGAGGCAAGGAGCCAACAGTCTGCATACAAATGAGCTAGATCTGTAAAACAGATTGTGCATGCTGAACTCAGCCAGTGAACGTGAAGAAGAAGAAGAACATTCACTGTGCCTGTCACCATAACCATGATATCTTCTTATCACACAGCAAAGATTTTGCAGTGTATACTGGCTTTTGGTTCTGTCCAATCAAATTCTTTTTAATCATCAGCTTCCCTTCACAATTAACCTTGCCAAGTGTGGCAAAGACCTGATGTTTCAGAGCGGACTGTAGAAAGGTCCAAAAATTCAGAAGTGTCTTATCACTAAAGACACATTTACAAAGAAAACGTTGGAAGTTGTTGAATGCATTTATAACTTTATGTTGATACAACACTTTTCTGTTATCATTTGAATGTATCTTGCTTCAAGACTCTTCCCCTTTTCCCCACAAATCAGAACAGCTATCACTGTTGGCAGAGAATTCCAAATATCTGCACAATTATCTTGACTGTTAATATTGATTTTGTTTTTCTTTATCACATTAAAAAAATTCAATGGAAGGGAAACAGAAGTAGGATAAATAATTTCACCATTCAATGTGATTTAAATGTAATGTGCATGATTATTTATTTCTAAATTTCTTTTTTTTGGCGCTCACCAGCTGTAAACTCCGGCACAAAGTTATGGTTGTACATCCACTCACCCCTGAACTTTGACCTTGTTCCAGAACATAAGTGCTACTGCACACATGTTCTACAGATCTATATTTGTGCTCAAGCTATTGGTTCCTTGCCTCTCAGGCAGATGTAGTGTGACCTCAAAGGACACATCAATCCTATTTACACTGGATTCAGGTAAAGGTGTAGCTAAGTTTTAATCCGTCTGAGCCCTGGTCCTAGTGCACTACCACATGTGGTTCAGCACCTCTGCATCCTGTTTTAAATTTAAACACATGACCCCTGGACTGCTAGACAAGCATGCTAGCCACTACATCAACATCATGTAGCAGGTCCTTTGCAGAACGTCGCTCTCATCCCAGTCTGCCTGAAAGAAACTCGTTCTCTCGCCAGCTCTCCCGCCTTATGTACTTTCACACTCAAGGAGTCACTTATATCCTGTGCCCATCTTCGAATGGTCGGCCTGCCCCTTCTTCCTGGTACCATGCCTTCTGCTATTATTTTTTCCAATCTGTCGAGGCGCTTGATATGACCAAAATATTTCAGGTTCCAAGCCACTACACCAGGGGACTAATTAAGCTGACGGAGGGGGGAAAATGTTGAAAATGGAAATCGTCACAGGCCAGAGGCACAAGCATATGGAGAGACCATTAATAAAACTAGCAATGATCTCCAGGCCACTGCGGGCTGGTTTTGGCCCATGGGCCAAGTTAAATAGACCTGCCCTGAATTATACTGTAGCAACTTTTTTCTTCAAAAGTAATACAGTACCCAAAAAAAATGTAGTCTTATTTTCCATCCTGAGCATCTGCTGGGAAACTGGAAGTGAAAGAGTTCTGAGTCTCTGAGGTTTCAGAAGATGTCCACATTAAAATGATAGAACAAAGCTGTACGAATGTACAGAAAGTAGAAACATTACTTGCTAACCTGCATTTCAATTTTGTCTTTTTCTTGCCTGAGTTGTTTCCGTTTGTTCTGCAGCAGTTTCATTCTCGCTGTATGTAACTCTTTATACAAGCTGTCAATTATCAAAACTAATTGAATAAGCTGACTGGAAAAAGGCATTGATTTGTCTGTGTTCATCATGTGTGTATAAGGCTTGTTTTCATGTATGTATAATTTGGGTGGCAACTGATTTAGTCTAAAAAATGTATTCTATTAAATAAAAATTTAAAAAAATATTATTTCAAACTAAAAAAAATGACAATTATTCAATCAGCATTATATATATGAAGTAGTGATTATTTGAAAGCCAACACTGTATCACAATTCATATTAGTTTTGCTCAGAAACATATGATATCATTTTTTTTAAAACACACATTGCTCTATATAAGCTCAGCTTCATGCTGGAAATTTAACTTTAGAGCCAGATCTTGATATCTCTATTAGGCCTCTCCAAACCTAACAGTAAAAGTGTTTTCCTTGGTATTGTTCCTGTCATACTAGATTGAATGAATGAGACAGACATGACATCCTGCACTAGGGACATACTGCACATGTGCTCTGCCCCATTATACAGTAGGCAATGCAGATTTCCTATGCTGATGATGCCAGTGACAGACTGATTAAAAGCTACCTTCTGAGCTGAATATTAGCCAGGTATTCCCAGCTGAATCAGTTAAGCCAGGTATGGATGTTCTGTCTGCTCTGCTGCTTTATGACCTGGCTCCTATAGCACTTCAATATCTGCCTTATCATAAAATAGATTACCACCCAGAGGAGTAGCAACAGTTAATCTGACTGCACATTTCCTCATTCATTCGCACATCTCAAGCAAAAATGCAAGATATGCTTCTGACCTCAGTTTTGTTAAGTAAGGAACAATTGAAAGGCACTCTATGTATAGCTTAATCTCCTGGTGTGGGTTCCTGGACCCTATTTTATGGGACAAAAGAACAGAAGCTCCTGACCTATGGGTGTGTGTCATGGGTAATGACAACAGCTCACAGAAGCCAGCTTCAGGCCTCAGAAATCAGATATCTGAGAAAGGTGGTCCAAGTGACAAGAAGAGACAAAGTCCACAATCAGACAATATGTCAAGATCTTGATACCCAGTCCTTACAAACCCGAGTGGATCAGTGACAGTTATGATGGTTTGGATATATATGCAGAATTGGAAAAAAAGTGTCCGCCATGGCAGGCTAAGAACCAGAGAAGCAGACTTCCAGGGTGACCCAGGGTGCACTTGGGAAGACAACATACAACAGACCCTAACTGATAGAAGACTGGAATGGAATAAGACAGAAAGAAAACTGCTGATAGAGACATCTGGTGATCTCTCAGGCAAACCTCTACACCCCAAGGTAGAAGAGGAGTGACTAACTAAGTAAGTAAGAACAGAAGCACAGCCCTATAATGAGCATGTCATTAAAGTTGACTAATTAAGGGTTTTTCCTTCGAAGTCAGAGGCATTTGCCTGAGAGATGAGGAACAAACAAGCTAGACATGTAAAATGGATGTACACGCAAAACTCAAGTTGTGGAACAAGACCAAAGTCCAGAAGCTGGATGAACAAGCAGAACTTTCTGCCAGAGTTTACAGCTGGTGAACATGAAGAAGAAGAATAGTATAAGCAGTTTCTATATTTTTTAAGCATATTTCAGTCAATGCTTCCCTGCTTTTAAATCACAGATCTCCCTGTGTGGGTTCCGGGGAAAACAAGAATAGATCCACTGCCTACCCAAAAGCATGCCGTAAGAGTTGACTAACTTTCAGCTTCTTTCGAAGCGGGAGTGCATTTGCCTGAGAGGCAAGGAACCAGCAGTCTACATACAAATAAGTCAGATCTGTAAAATGGATGCACACGCAACACTCAGGTTCTGGAACAGGACTGCAGTCCAAAAGTAAATGAACAACCAGAACTTTCTACCAGAGTTTACAGCTGGTGAAAGGGAAGAAGAAGAAGAAATCACAGATTATTTCACTTACTGAGATTTTAAATTTGTTCAATTAATAAATTGTCTCTCTAATGTGGACAACAAAGGTGTGTTAACACTTACAGAAGCTCTCTATCAGCAGCAACCAAGTCGAAAGCACTAGGCCCAAACCTGTTCTTATCTATCTTCATCTGCTCAATAAGTTCTACAGCAAAGAAAAACAGATTATTGTCAATTATAAAAACAAATTGCTCTTATTTTGGACATTATAAAATTTATGATGGTATTCACGAATAGTAAATTACATTTCAGGTTTTATTAGTGATTAATGTTAAAGTATTGCAGAGGAACAAAACTCTGACTCTACAAGAGCATTATTTTGCCAGTTCTTCTTTATGGAGCAGAATGCTGGAGAATGACCAAAAAGGATGCACACAAGCTGTCCACCTTCCACCACACATGTCTACGTAGAATTATCCACATTTTCTGGCCAGATACAATCTCAAACACTAAACTACTTGAAGCCACAAACCAAGAAACTTTAGACAGTATGATTACCAAGAGAAGATGGAAATGGCTTGGCCACGTTATGACAATGACTTCTGATATACCTGCCAAAACAGCTCTCACATGGACACCAGAGGAAAAAAGAAAACAGGGGCGCCCAAAAACAACACGGAGACGAACGATGGAAAGTGACCTGAGTGCGGCATCTTTGACATGGAAAACTGCACTGAAGATTGCACAGGACAGGAAAGCATGGAAAGTCCTCTCTGAAGCCCCATGTGCCACTAGGCATAACAAGAACTGATGATGATGAATGTTAAAGTATAATATCACTATTGTAGAACGGAAATGAAACAATTATCTTACAAACTGTTAATTAAGATAAATAATTAGCTAAAATGAAATATGTGAAGTTAATGTTTAGACTAGTGTCTCCAAAACATTTTTTTGGGTCCATTGCTCCTTTTCAGTTAAAATCGCTCAGCCCCCCCCCCCCCCCCCCCCCCCCCCACCCCCCCAATGATAAACTTTTTTGAGATCATATTTATTTAAAATTTCCCCTCTTTGTTCTTTCTTCTCTTTTCTTTCTTCTTTTTTTTCTTTTCATACTTCTCTGTCGCTCTTTTTATCCTCTCGCCCTTGTCTTTTTTGTTTTTGTTTTTTTCCTCTCTTTTATTTTCCCCTGCCCACTTTCATTCGATCTTAGAAATTATCACCAAGTCAGAGTCTAAGCCTCGCCTCACCTTGAAATATACCTTCTGCAATGAGACAAATGGAATAATGCAATGATAACTTTTTTGAGATCATATTTCTTTCAACTTAATACAGCATGCTGCAGTCTGTAATTTTTGGCGCCCACTTTGGGTCAATATTTATACAATGGCAATCCAGAATCCCAAAAATACTGAAGGACAAGGCAAACTATAAACTTTCAAGGGTTCAATAAATTTTGAATCAAAATATGCACTGCAAAAATACAATGACATTATAATTGAAATTGCAATTATAAAACTAATTTTCTTTACAGAAGAGGACAACGTTAAATGAAATTTTTTTTTTTTTTTTTTACTAAATAATGCGGACAAAAGCAATAAATTGCACAATTAATTGCCTGACATATTTTACCATTACATGAGTCTAACTAGACAATGTGATTTATGTATTTCAGTGAAAATAATTCATTTTTGTGCTTCAGTAAATGTTGACTTAACTCTGTAGTAATGCACTGTAGTAATGATGAGATACAATGAAATATGCCTGGCAATAAATTGTGCAATGTATAGTTTTTGAGAGAACGATTTAAATTTACAATGGCAAAACGGAAGCAAACAATTCTTTCTCTCAGAATCTAGCCAGTAGTCATGCACGATACTGAATTACTAGCCTTTGCAAAAAGAAAAAAAAAGTGCAAATGCATTCATGCAAGAAAAAAATTAAAGCTGCATCAATAAAAATAGCAAAAGATCTTATCAATGAAAAGAAAAATTGAAATAAAGACTGTCATCATTTAAAACAAGAGTTTTCACATGGCATATCACAAGAAAAACAACATAACAATGAGGACATTTAATTTAAACAGCAAGGGCAGCGACAAAAAACAGACACCAATAGAGAGACATGATTACAAAGCTTAACTCTTTCAGTAACAAACAACTCATCATACACTTCTTGGTTATTCCAAAAGCGAAATATTGTCCTTTTTGTCTTCTATCATAAATAGATTTTGTTTTTGGAGTATTAGTTAAATTGCTTCTATCTCATAATGTCTCTGTTCAACTCCTTTAGACCCAACTAAACATTTATTGCTTTTAAGCACAATTAATTAAAAGAGACGGGGTTAAAGTAATAACTGCCCGGAACCCAAAGATTTAATAATAAACAAAAATCAGAAAGTCAGTTGCGTGTCCTTTAAGAAACGTTCCAGGACCAACCCCAGCATTTTTTGGGGGGTGCTGTTTGTGATTTAACTAGACAATTTTCATGTTTATTAGTTTGCCACTGTTTTCTAAATGGTAGGCTCTCAATATCAATGTTAAAATCAACACAAGAAGGTCCAAATCATCAACAGCTGAGATTGGACCCGGCACCAAGGCAACATCAAGCAATTTCACAATGCCTAAGCCACAGATGCTGACAAAGCATTAATAACCAGCCCATAAATATAAAATGATGAGCCTGAATAATCCCATAAACATAAAATGATGAGCCTGAATAATCCCATAAACATAAAATGATGAGCCTGAATAATCCCATAAACATAAAATGATGAGCCTGAATAATCCTATAAACATAAAATGATGAGCCTGAATAATCCCATAAACATAAAATGATGAGCCTGAATAATCCCATAAACATAAAATGATCAACCTGAATAATCCCATAAACATAAAATGATCAACCTGAATAATCCTATAAACATAAAATGATCAACCTGAATAATCCCATAAACATAAAATGATCAACCTGAATAATCCCATAAACATAAAATGATCAACCTGAATAATCCCATAAACATAAAATGATCAACCTGAATAATCCCATAAACATAAAATGATCAACCTGAATAATCCTATAAACATAAAATGATCAACCTGAATAATCCCATAAACATAAAATGATCAACCTGAATAATAACAATAACTAGAAGCATCTAGGATACATAGTTACTAAAGAAAAGTGCTGCAATCACAAGCTTTCAATTACATTTCAACCACTATATACAAACAATTACATAGCACAGTGATTCCCAAACTGTGTGCCGTGGCACCCCAGGGAGCAGTGACCTCTTCACAGGGGCACCGCAAAATATTCAAAGATGCATGAGTTTTTTTTAAAAATATCTCTTTCATACGAATAGTCAGACTTTTACTTAGGTTAGGGCGCCGTGGAAAAAGTTTAATTGGAAAAATTTTAATTGAAAAAAAAGGTGCCGCGACTAAGACAAGTTTGGGAAACACTGACATCGAATATATCAAACAAAGGATTATAATTCTTACCTTGAAATATAGATACAATTTCTGCCTGATGCTCAACATAGAACTTGACTATAACATCTTTAGCTTCCATTAGAAGACAGCCCCAGTACAAGTGCTGCTCCTTACTCTCATTTTTTATCCGTTCTCCAAGGTTTGGATTTTTAATCTGCTCGCTGTAATGTTGAATCTTTTGACTGGCCAATGACTGGCTGTCTAAGTAGGGCTGTGGCGAAAAATATACTGTATACATTTTGCTTTAAATAAGTTATGAGTTGGATTATCTTCTTGGCACTCCGGGGAAAAATATACTGTACATATTTTGCTTTAAATGAGTATTGAGTTGGATTATCTTCTTGGCACTCTGGGGAAAAATATACTGTACATATTTGCTTTAAATGAGTTATGAGTTGGCGTATCTTCTTGGCACTCTGGGGAAAAATATACTGTACATATTTTGCTTTAAATAAGTATTGAGTTGGATTATCTTCTTGGCACTCTAGGGAAAAATATACTGTACATATTTGCTTTAAATGAGTTATGAGTTGGCTTATCTTCATGGAACTCTGGGGAAAAATATACTGTACATATTTGCTTTAAATGAGTTATCAGTTGGCTTATCTTCACGGCACTCTGGACACATCTAAGGTGCTTATTTTGCCTGCTGTATGGTTATCCTGTATGAAATTTTACCACAGGTCGCTGACGAAAAACTGGACACCTGTGCATGAACTGCACAGCATGGCCCCAAACCCCTCCCCTTTAAATATGTGTGCATATTACTGTGCAAAAAAAAAACAAAAACAGCAAAGACATTATTTTCTTCTTCTGGGCTTGCACTTAATGGATGGTTGACATGCTGAATTTGTGGTTTAAAGTTAGGCTGTGAAATCTGTACCTTTGGCCAACATATCAGATTTCAGCAAAAATTGAATGTCATGCTTGTTAGGGGTCAGTGGGTCTATCCCCCCCCCCCCCCCCATTTTTGGGGACCTGGAACCCACAAGAAAAAACAATATTTTTATCTGAGCAAATAAAAAAAATGAGTTAATGTACATGTGGTCTCAAAAAAATAAGTTTTAAAATATTATAAATTAAAAAATTTAATAGCAGATCAAATTTGTAACAAATAATGCATTTAGCCATATAAAAAAGGCTTAGAACACAAAAACTGTAACGGAAGACAATTAGCAAAGGACCTCTGATGCAAAAAATGGTAACTATTCTTTATTCCTAATGGTCAGCTTGTAGACATTACTGTCAAAAGATACATGCCTTACTTTCCAAGTCATAAGCCTAAAAAGTCAACATACTCTCTGCTGTATGGAACTAAAGAGCAACTCCAAAAAAAAAAAGGTCGACCTCATCATAAGCATTCATATGTCAATGCAAACACTGGGAATACCGTGACAAGAAGAAGGCACATAACAGTATTCGGTATCTAATAAACAACTCTTAGTGTTTAGTTACTTCACAAGCACACAAGATAATAAAATACAGTAAAGTAATAAATATTTTTTTTTGTTTGCTGCTTTGACCACCAATGGCTGAAAAACCACACTGTTTAATATATATATATATATATATATATATATATATATATATATATATATATATATATTATATATATATATATATATATATATATATATATATATATATATATATATATATATATATATATATATATATATATATATATATATATACACACACACACATTTCTTCTCACCTGTAATTCATAGTTATAGTAATCTGCAAGAGCAGACATCAGATGTAAAACGGCCTCATCCTCTCTCTTGTAAACATCCTCCAGGTCCTTCATGACAGTGCAGTTTTCCCTTTCAAATGCAATATTTTTCAGCTGATCCTCCAAAACACTGATTTTCTAAAAGAAAAAAATTAAGCAAATCTAAAATCCCTATGAAAAGTATATTTGACTTTTCCCCCTGAATCTCCCTATGTCCAAAGCCATATTCTGACCTTCAAACTGTTAGTTCATTTTCCACATTTGCGCACAATATAGTGGTGTTGAATACTTTTCAGTAAATCATCTCTAAGACCTAGTTTATTTTGGACATGTGATGCTAATAATGCTTGAATGAGTACTGACTTGGGGATAGCTGCTCATTTATGGTTTCTTACCTTGGATAGTTAGTCTCTATTTCCATCTGCTCTTGCTTTAATTATTAATTAATTCTTTTAGGATACATGGAATATTACAAAATCTAGGGCAGATTTCATCCTGTTTTTTTTTATAATTTTATGTTGCTAAAGTTTAAATGTATACAGCGGATATTTATTAATTATATTAGAAACAAAAACATTTTTCATTTTCAAGTGCCTTGCCAAGCAGCATGGATGATCTTTAACAGCTTGCATCATTTTGTGTGATGATACTCTTCCGTGTCATGAAAAAAAAACTGTCAAGAATCTTCTCTTCTATCTTTCTTCACAAATCTTTCCAGTCGTCACATGTTTCAATATCTTTCTTCCCACAACGTGGCCAAAAAATTATGACTGTCTCTAATATTTGTGATATGCTGTCTCTGTACCCTTGCTTCATTTGAAACATCTGGATTAGTGCTCAGAAATACTGACAACAAATAACAATCGCTTGTCATTTAAGAGTTCATTCAATTTAATCCTAACGATCTTTTTCTTCTGTTTTCAGAATCTGCTTTATGCTGTTATTAAACATATTACAGTTAGCTGAACAAGAGCACATTCAGCAGCTTGATATGCTGTGATGCTGGAAGGAAGGTCTTGGGCTGTTAGATGATAGTTAGCCAAGCCAGGGCACATTCAGCTACTTGATATGCTGTGATGCCTTAAGCTGTCAGTGACAGTCTGAGGTTGGTGATGCGCTCTATTGTTTTGCAGAAACAGCTTGTGAGGCTGATCGGTCTGTAGTTGGAGGCATTGGAACTGTCTTTCCCAGGCTTTATAAGGGGTACCATAATAGCCTCTCTCCAGATCTGTGGAACATTTCCTGTTGCCCAGCAATCATTAAATATCTGTAAAAGCTTTGTTTTGGCCACTGTTCCTAAGTTTTTGATAATTTTGTTAGATATACCATCTGCTTCTGGTGACTTCCGCATTTTCAGCTTTGAAATGGCCAACTCCAGTTCATTAAGTGTTTAAGTGGCACCTCTAGCACCTCTGATGTTATTTCTTTCTGACTTCTGAATAGTGTCTTTTCTTGAATTTCTTGTTTTTTCTCTGAACTGATTTCAGTGTCATTATCTAATGCAAAAGTGTCTGCAAAGAGGTTGGCTGCCTCTTTTCCTGTGACCATGTTTCAATCTTTCAGCAGCGTGATCTTTGAGTTCCACCCTGTGTCCTCATCATTAATTTTTTTTTACAAGCTTCCATAACTTTCTTGTGTCTTTTTCAAAGTGCAGTGACTTTGTTTTCTCCTGCCAGATTTCCCTTCTAACCTGCAGCTTTGCCCTAACATATTTTGCTTTTGCATGCTGGTAGTTATTGTGATGTTCTTGGTTTGGCCTGGTCTCTGCTTTCTTTCTATATGTTTCCCCTTCGTTATGTAAATTTTCTAGTTCACTATTCCAGTATGGCTTATAATGCTTACGGGCACCTCTTGGTATTGATTCTCCTGCTGCCTGTAGTACGCATTTGTTAAATTCTTTAACTACTTTGTTTTTATCCTGGTCTACGCTGAGATTTCCAAGCAGTATACTGGTACGGTGTTTAAACATTGTCCAGTCAGCCTTCTTGTAGTTCCACCTTGGCAGCGTACTCGTTTCTCTGACCTTTTCATTTTCTACATTCAGGAAGACCGGTCGATGATCACTGCCTCCCAGTTGTTTTCCAACAACTCGTGTAATGTTCCATTCCAGATCTGGAGAGTGAAATGCTAGGTCTGGGGTAGTAGTGGTGTGCCACGACTTCGAGTAGAATGTGTGTGGATCAGTTGGCCTATTAATCAGAACAAGTCTGTTCTCATCCTGCCACTCTTCCAGTTTCTCTCCTCTCTGGTCTATGTGGTCGTACCCCCAGCTTTGTGAGTGGCTGTTAAAGACTCCACATAGAATCATCTTTGCTTCTACTGGGATTGTGTCTAGTGCTTGAGGACGATCACTTGGGCAGTAATAATTGCTCAGGTAGAAGTCTGTATTTCCAGTTTGCAGTTTTAGAATCTGATATTCTGCTCCATCCATATATACTTCAGTCTGGCAGTCAGTAATAGTTAGATGAGCAAGGGCACATTCAGGTGCTTGATATGCTACAAGGAATGCCTGAAAGGCGATTTCGCAGCAATAAACAAGGAGGTGAAGCAACTCAAAGAGGCCACCCGGCATCTTCAACTCGAAAGCATAAGAAACAACAAAACGAAGATAGCAGCCCACTCAAACGGAAACGACGCCCACGTGAAGTAGCAAGTTGAAAGCCTACATGCAGCAACCAATGAAAACCTCAAAAGCCGCCATGACAGCTGAACAACCACGCCCACCAGCCCGGAGAAACCTCACAGCCCACAACCAGATGACACATGTCCGCCGCCCAAGCCACGCCCACCTACCTCACTCTGACAGAAGCAACTAACCTCAGGCAGAAATGTAAATCGCCACAACAGAAACGACAATAACTGGAGAACAAAACTCCAGACAACAAAACACCGCTTCGATATAACCAACGCTCTTTCTAGGAGCCGGTTGAAAGAAGCAAGAAGTTTTTCGTTTTTTTTACCAACACCAGTTACCAGTTTTTGTCAATGACTCTTTTAGTTTTAACAGATGAAAGTTTCGTGAGCTAGGGCACATTCTGCTGCCTGATATGCTGTGATGCCTTAAGCTGTCAATGACTCTCTTAGTTTAACAGATGAAAGTTACATGAGCTAGGGCACATTATGCTGCCTGATATGCTATGATGCCTTAAGCTGTCAATGACTCTTTTAGTTTAACAGATGAAAGTTACATGAGCTAGGGCACACTCTGCTGCCTGATATGCTGTGATGCCTTAAGCTGTCAATGACTCTCTTAGTTTAACAGATGAAAGTTACTGAGCTAGGGCACATTCTGCTGCCTGATATGCTGTGATGCCTTAAGCTGCCAGTGACTCCTTTTGTCATTTTATAGGTCTCCATGTGCTTCTTGGAGTTACCATTTTCATGGTGTTTGCTATGGCTACCAGCATCGGTGGATTCATTCTCATTTGGTGGTTGAACAGTCTCAGTCTTTGTTTCTCAATGTATTTAATCATGGGTATTGTTCCAACAGTTCTTAGAATCACTTTATTTCTCACATGATCTTTTCTGGTTTTGTTCACGGCTTTTCTTAAACATCTCCTTTCACAGGTAGTTAGTTCTCTCTCATGTTCTTTGGTTAATGTCCAAGCCTGACATTGAAAATATAAAGCTGGAATAAATATTGCACTTAGAAATTGTCTTTTAATCTCTGCTGAATAGCTTGATTTTACAAAACGGGTGTAACTGTTTTTTTAATCTGCTCACTGTAATGTTGAATCTTTCGACTGGCCAATGACTGGCTGTCTAAGTAGGGCCTTGGAGAACGGATACAAAATGAGAGTGAGGAGCAGCACTTGTACTGGGGCTGTTTTCTAATGAAAGCTAGAGATGTGATCGTTAAGCTCTGAGTAGTTACATTTGATTGTCGATTTGCTGGATTTCTGTTTTTATCTTTTCTAATTTCGTATACAGTTTCTAGAGCAGTTTTATGTAAACATTTAAATCTCCTGCCATTTTGCTGGACCTGTCGCAGCTTCATCCTTAAAAGAACACTGAATTGCACACATGAATCACATAAGACAAAAAATTAAAAACACATCTGTGATAACACAGTATTTGCTAGCCATCAAATCCCCATAATTTAAATAATGCTAGTCCAAATCAGATGATTTAAAGCAAGATAGTGAGCCTAAAGACTTAGCAATAAGAGATTATTAAAACAGTGCATGTGTTCACTTTTGCAAATGGTGACTGATGGAATACTTTAGTTTACAAATGCTATAATGTATGAGACAAACTGAGCTCTTACCTGAGGCAGATGTATAAAGAGGAAGAAGAGGGAGAGAAGAACTAAAATACATTAATACCAGGAAGAAAAAGGAGTAGGTAAAGACAAAGATGTTAATGAAAAAAAGAAAGAAAGAAGGAAACTCAAAGAAATGTTACCACAATTTTGCAGTTAGTTGCGTTCCATTATAGAACATTGCCGAACCAACCTTAGCATTTTTTGGCTATTTGTGACTTCATTACATTCATTAGTGTGCCATTGCTCTTGAATGGTTGGCTCTCAACACCACTTTAAAACCAGCGCTAGGTTGTCTGCTGCCAAATCACACACAGCTGGGATCGACACTGCATCTCAAAATTACAAAGCATATTCCTAACACCTAAGCCACAGACACATTTTGTACAGGATAAATGGTGGAGACCAGTCTCACCTGTGACAAGTCATTTCTGTGTACTTCAGACATCTGCTCATAGTAGTTTTCCACTGTATGAGCAGATGCTTCAAACATCACCTGGAATTAGAAATACATTAAAAGAAATTTGTTTTCCATCATCTGTTACAACCTGATTGTATTTCATACATGCTCTCATGCCATTCATGTCCTCACTGTGCAGATGTATGCGTACACCCACATTGGCCTACCACAGGGTTCTGCTCTGAGTAGTTACATTTGATCAAGTCACAGCTCAGCCACTGTATACAACATGTCATATAAGGTTAGTTGCGTATCCTTTACAGGACGTTGCAGAACCAACCCTCACAGCCCCTAGCTGTTGTGTGGTTTCTCTAGGCAATTTACGTCCAGTAGTTTGCCATTGCTTCTGGACGGTCGGCTTTCTTGATACCACTGTCAAAACCAACGCAAGGGGCGTGGCCCGCAGCTGGGATCAAACCCGGCATTACGAAGACATGCCATGTACAAAGCCAAAAATATAATACTGTTATCATCATCAGGCAGCAGGTCCTTTAAAGAATGCTGCTCTCTTTATAGCATGCCTAAAAGTCTCTCAAATCTCTTGTCAATTATTCAGCCCTGTGTGCTTTCACAGTCAATGCGCCTTCAATGTCTTATACACACCTTCACAGAGGTTAGCATCTGCCTCATCCTCGGAAACTACACGCTCCATCATAGTTCTCTCTAAGCCACCTTGATGTTTAACATGGCCAAAATATCATACTGTTCTGGACAAGATGCTGTCCAATACAGAGGTTCTGGAAAGGCTACAAATTTAGAGAATTACTGAAAGAAATTAAAAATAGACAATTGAAATACTTTGGCCACATTAAAAGACATAACATACTTTTGAAAACCCTACTGGAGGGAAAGGCTGAAGGCAAGAGAGCAAGAAGTAGGCAATGATAAAAGTGGGAGGACAACATGAAGAGATGGAAGGGCAGCAGTTGAAGAGAGTGTACAACCAGGACAAGAGACAGAGCCTGTTGGAGATCCATTGCAGAAAACCTTCACTGTGGAGATGTACCCAATTGATTGACAAGCACTTATAGCCTTTAATTGCTGCCTCTCAATTGAATTCATGACCAATTAAGACCAGGAATGAAGTTCCTCCTCTCTACAACACAAAGTCTGAGCGACATTGTAGAGACCATGTGCTGCCCCTGTAGCATGACCTCTCTCTCTCTCTCGTCCTGCTTTGTTAACTCCAAAGGAAAGATAACACCAATATGTTTGGGATAAAGCATATTGCAGAAGCTGATCGATCAGAAAAGCACTGCTCTACCTTTCTGTCAAAGCTTCCCTTCCCAGACTAGCTGCCAACCAAGGCTAAGTGTGTGGTCTGCATATATGAATCTCTGTATGTTCCGTATATGTACATACATCAATCTCTCCGCATCCTAACAAGTGTAAGTACATGAAAGCAAGTATATTCACATACCATAAGTGTATATTTCTGTGTGTCTGCATACAACAAATCATAATCTTATTCAGTAGCGCTCTCTCCCTCTCTTTCAAATCTCCTCATACACAAACATTGCCAAAAAATAATAAACTGGATTTCCTACCTCATGTAACACTCTTGACCCAACTTTCTCTGCTGCAACAGTAAAGTATTTCTCCAAATCTCTGCACAGTTTCACCTTGTCCTGCGGCATCTGCATGCCCACAAACACAGCCTTCAGTCCTTTAGGTTCTTTAGGCAAATCCGGCGGCAGTTTAGGCATCCCATTACTAAGTCCTTGCAAAGTATGGTGAATGCCATGTACTGCACTAATGCTGAAAGCTCCTGTCTCTGAATTGTCTTCTGTGTCCCTAGCAACTCTACTCCGAAACCGACTTGTGACAGCAAACATACAGTCTACGTCATTCCATTCAACCAGGAATGTTGCCACACAGTTATCACCTTGCACAGAAAAAGCTTTGTCTTTCACCCAGACCCAGTCATTAAAGGAAACAGCTCTTGTGTAACTCATGATGAAATTATTGTAGAATCCCACTGTTATTTATTCATGTTATTTTAGAAACTCAATGTTATTTATTCATGTTATTGTAGAAACTCAATGTTATTTATTCATGTTATTATACAAGTTCAATATTATTTATTTAAAATCAAGCCTTTGGGTAATCCTCAAAAAGAAATTGCATTTTCAGTCTGAAATAAAAATAGAGACAGGTATTAAAAACATATAAACATTGATTAAGTGTAAAACAAACCACAAATTTAAAGGCATATTTATCTAATGTCAAGCAAATTTAATGTCCTACCTAAGCCAGTAGTAAAATCCGTGTGAGATGCTAGCTAAAAAAAATTAAGTAAGTAAGCTTTGGCAGTATTATCATTAGTCAGACAAAAAAAGATCATTTTCACGTCACTGGCAAAATAGGTGCTAGACCTATATTTATATAGACCAACAGACATGAGATGAGTGATGTGGTCAACTGGTCAATATCATGGCAACCACCTGAACTTCTCAGGACACTTATTGTCTCGCATCCCTGTGTGGGTTTTGGATCCTATTTTTTTGGGGGGGGGGGGGGTGGAATAAGAATAGATCCACTGACTTCAACAAGTGTGTTGTAAAAGGAGGCTGCTTAAGGGTATTTTTTTTTAAAGGAGTGCATCTGCCTTTGCAGGTGAGGAACCAAGTCTGCATCAAATAAGCTAGATCTGTAAAAATATTTGGTTCTCCTTCAAACTTCGTCCCCATATTATGGCGGCCAAACAAATACCCTAATAGGGCCTTAGTCAAATGCAGATTGTGGACTGCCGGCCGAGGAACAAAGCACAGTGAAACTAGGATTGCCCCCGAATAATGGGCCACTATTATCGAGGGCAAACAAATGCTCTAACAGGGTCTCAGCGATATGTTAATTGCAGACCTGTTTCTGCGACAATGCCACACCGCCAACAGTATTTCCCGCGCCGCTATGCTCGGCGCACACTGGGGGCTAAACTAGATGGCTAGGACTCACGAGCAAATAAATCGCAGGAAGTTGCAGGAGATGCGGTAGCTACTGCTCGTTAGTCCCAGCCATCTAGTTTAGCCCCCCCCCCCCCTCCGCACCGCGCGTAGTGGCACAGGGGATATGCTCGGCTGTTTGTTTAATCTGAAGAACACTATTGCTAACCTGCGCCGGAGCGCATGGTCTCCCCGCCATTTAGCTATTATCGTGTGTATTGTTGCGTTTCTCAAAACTGTCCTAGTTTTGCCGCGATGTGTCTGTTGGAGGAAGTCGGCATTTTACATATGACTGAGGTCCTGTTAGAGTATTCGTTTGGCCGCCACAATATGTGGACGAAGTTCGAAGGAGAGCCAAATATTTAAAATGGATATGCATGCAAAATTCAAGTTTTGGAACAGACTAAACTTCATAAGTTGTTGAAACCAGAACTTTCTGCTGAAGTTTACAGTCATGCAAGCTAGGAACAAGAGTAGACTGGTATATATTTTAGGTTGGGTTGCCCTGGGAAAGAGTGGAGTGGATGAGCTGATGACAACTCGGCTGATTTATATCTTTCTTGACAATGCAAAGGATATTGCTCGGTTACTTGCTTAGTTGACTGGAAAATATAGACAGGCCACAGTGAAATATGCAATACACTGAATGTTTTTTGTCCTCGTATTCATACTCAAATGCATTTATAATATTTAATAAAAACAATAAGGTAAGAAAAACAACTGTACTGTGTGCATTGATGGCGACTCACTTGACTGTTTAAATAAATTAAAGTCTGTTACACACATGTTTTCATTTAATAAACAGTACTAACATTCTCGCAATCTACACTCAGTTCAGACATGTTAAATGTGATGTAAACTAAACGCTTACAAAAACATGGTCTTAAGTCTAAGCTCGTGCCAGTCATTTTTTACTCATCCTCAGCTGGTGCTGGTAAAACGTAAGCCTACAAGTTGCCGGAAGTTGTCCAAAGTATTTTTATTTTTCCTTTCCTTTCTGTTTCGTCGAAAAATTTTCAGAGAACATGATGTTTGTCAGCAACACTTGCTGGTTCAGTATATATCACAAGTGAAGAAATGTAAAGATGTACATTTTATGATTTGTGTCGCTCTCTACATACCCTGTCGCGTGACGTACAATTATAAAATCTTATCTCGGTTCTGACAAACATTTACGCTTTGTTTACCAACATGGTCTACGATCAAACCAGCTATCTCGTTTTACCTTCAATCAATCTTCCCCTTCTTCTTCTCTTCCACTTTGTACCCCATCAAAGTGTCGGGAGAAGATGTAATGTTCGTTGATGGGCTCTGTCAAGAGCACTATTAAGACTGATGTTCATTTCTGTAAGGCTGTTCTTAATGCCATCACTCCATATTTTCCACTCGCTCTATACCCGTTGTAACGTTTTAGTGTGGCTCGCTGTGGCGGATAGTACCAGGACATTCTTGTTAGGTGTCCAAACCACTTCATTTGTTGTTCTTTGATGAACTGTAAGACTGGCTTTATTCCTAGCATTCGTCTGATTTCATGATTTCGTATTCTGTCTTTCCTTGAAACTCCTGCAGCTCTTCTAAGGCATTTCATCTCTGTTGTCACAATGTTACGTTCATTGGAGGATGTAAGTGTCCACGTTTGGCATTGATAGCATAGTGTTGGCCAAAAAATAGTTCTGATACGATTCACCTTAGTACCCCGACTGACTGACTGACTGAACTTCTACCCCACCAGGACATCACACAAGCGACAAACACCCGATGACACAAAGTGCCACCATGCGGATGAGGATCACCGTGGAGAGGTCCCAGAAACCGCGTTAAGACACTTGGCCATAATGATGACCTGCCTATATTGCGGTCCCTGGCAAAAGCCAGAGTGGGGCTTCAAATAACAAAAAATTACGTCCTAACAAGGACGTAAATGAATAAGTACTCCGAGGTATCTGCTTGTGTGTCAACAGGGGAGATAGTTGACCCATTACTTGATTAGCTTTGGCACATCTGGAGCTAATTTCTCTGTCCAGTTTTCCGTCAGAGTTAAAAATTGCTCCCAAATACTTAAATTCCTCTGTTTGTCTCAGGGTATTGTTTTTTAATTTAATTTCTAAATTGTCTTTATGTCTTCCTATCATCATTGTCTCTGTCTTCGTAGTGTTTATTTTCATATTATATTCCTCCCCTTTGTTACTAATTTGATTTAGGTGGTTCTGTAGGCATTCCGTATTTTCTGCTATGAGTACCTGGTCGTCAGCGAAAAGTAATTCTGTAATATCATCGTCAAGATTAAAGTTCGTTTCTCTACATATGGTATCCATGTATGTTATAAAAAGAAGCGGCGATAGTACACAGCCCTGACGCACACCAGAGTTCACTATAAAAGTTCTTGACAACCCTGCCTTCGATCTTATGCAGCATTTACTACTTGTGTACAGGCTTTTGCAAATATTAATGAGATGATTGCTGATTCCTTTTTTCCCCCATACATTCCCACAACATATTCCTGTCGACTCTATCGAAGGCTTTTTCTTGGTCTATGAATGTCAACAAACATGTCTTATCATGTTCTATTGCCCTCTCTGATAGTTGTCTCAACCTTCAAGCAATAAGCTACCAAAAGAGAGAATTCTGGCTGATACCAACAGGAGATGCGGGAGCTACCCGTTGTTACACCAACCAGAATAGAATGGGATTTGTTAGCCCAAAAACACTTGGAGGCATATTTAGGATGAGATTGGAGCACTTATGGTCATGACCGATGTGAGACGAAGATTATCTTTTAGTGAACAGCGAGTCAGTGAGAGATGAACAAACAGTTGTATGGAGAGTGTACAACTTTGGCGAAATACGGAGAATATTGGAGACACAATGCAGCCAATCTTGACTAATTTACTATGGAGGCGGTACATGATTGATTTAACAAGATGCTGTTTTTCCTCAGTGAAGTTTGACTACAATGAATCTTCAGCACTCTAAGTCTCGCCATGATTTACAATCTGACTGACGTTTGTTGGACCATATCTTTGTGTCATCTTACAACTTGTATCTCTGTCTACCTTCCCATTGTTATTTGTTTATCTAAACTTTTCCCTTTAGCGTCTTTATAAAGAAAAGAGTGCCATGTCTTTTACTATGGCACACATATTTTACTTCCTTCTGCCCTTTTCCAGGTTTCCTTAGGTTGTCAAATTTTCCTTTTCCCGTCTTCTGCCCACCGGAGATCTGTCATTTCCAACGTGTTTTAAGACATTCTGTAAACGTGTCCAAGCCTTACTTTAATATGTGATTGCCATTTATGATCATTTTGTGTCCTCCCAGTTATTCAACTGTATTGAATTGAACAACGGATCAACATCACGGCACACAAGTCGCAGTCCGAAGAATCTCAGCTCAGTACACGAGCTCCATGGCACCGGCGAGGATCCTGAAATACTTTGGGTAGATTTTTAACTCCAAATTTTGCCCGGGCAGCGCTGTTAGGCTACTTTTTTCGATTTCCAACTGCCAAGGGATTTTTTACGTACGTGCGCAGCAATACACATGGGCACCCGATCTTACTACCCAGAGACTATGGGAAATTACTAGAAGTCCATGTGAAAAAAATCCCAGCCCGTACCGGGGCTTGAACCCAGGACTCCAGCACCTGGTGGCCAACCCAGTTGTTTCTAGATAGTTACTTTGAAAAGTCTCTTGTTTGTGATATCTTTGGGTCACGAGTGCAATTTTTTTTGGTGGGGGGGGGGGGGGGGGAATCCACGAGGTTTTCCGCTGAAGCTACGGAGTTCGTACTTTGTGCAACTCTTTTGCAAGTTATCTAGCCGCTATGTGGAAAGAATCAGAGCTATATGGGATAAAACCCTTTGCAATAAACCCCAGCTTCTCATATTTAACGTTTTTATTCTCAAGCAACGTTTAAACTCAAACAATGCATCAGCGTTTGTTTATTATTGGTCTTCAGAATATCCCCTTTGTCCAGTACGAGTGTTCCTGGGACTATAGCATTTGTAGCCAAACAATCCATTCTTCAATTTGACATGTGACCAGTTTTTGTCCCCTTTATTTTCCTTATCTAGCCAGATGACAGTAAAGAGATTCTGGAGTCACAAGTGGCCACTTCTACTTTGTATTTAACCTCTGTTAGTGTCTGTATGTCGGCTCTGTGGCTACGTCTATGCGAACGCTTCGTAATGCCGAGATGCCGGGTTCGATTCCAGCTGCGGGCCATGCGCCTTGCGTTGGTTTTGACAGTGGTATCAAGAAAGCCGACCGTCCAAAAAGCAATGGCAAACTACTGGACGTAAATTTGCATAGAAAACCCACACAACAGCCGGGGGCTGTTGGGGTTGGTTCTGCAACGTCATGTAAAGGATACGCAACTAACCTTAGTCTCTGTATAGCGGCGTCCGTGGCTTAGACGTTGCGAGTCCGACTAGTAATTCCAAAGTACCGCGATCGAAACCCACTGCTGGCTGCGTTGATTTTCATCTTGGTACAGATCGTCGTAGGTCAACCCAGACTAAAATGGGTACCAGAATGTATGTCCTGGGGTTGTAAAGACGGCCAGCTTAATGCTGACCACATTACCCACCTATTGCTGATTGGTCTGAAAAATTATAGGTGCTCTTCCCACATTCCCGATGCGCCCAAGGCGTGAGTAGGGATCTTTACTTTACTTCACTTTACTTTCTGTATCATGACTGACTGCCACCCCCTCACCCTCTCCCAGCTGCTACCCAAGGCACTGACACCCTGCGACTGGAAGGGCCATATCCTGGATCTAAAAAAAATGTCTCTTTTCTACGCCTTCCGGTGTATTAGGAATGTAGGGCTAGACATAATATAGACCAATCGGCATTTAGTGGGTGATGCGGTCAGCATCACGCCGACCGCCTTTACTTCCCAGGGCTGCTCCTGGTACCCATTCAAGGCTGGGAGTCAAGGTCATTTTTTGAAAAAAAAAGTCTGGCTCCGTTATAATACGAACCCACGACCTTCTAATCCGCAGGCGTCTAGCCGCCAACGCCACGGCGACTTCCATATCCTGGATAGCAGGCGGCAAAAAACATATCTCAGAAACACCTTTAACCTCCTAAGAAGTTAAACTTAAGACACCCATAACAAGGTGAAGAGACACAAGTTTACATGTTTTATTGCTCAGCTCAATAAAACCACGTCCACTGCTGATGTCGTATTGATGATGCTCATTGGCCTGCTGTACCTTCTAAACATCATGCAACAAGTTTTCCCCCACCATTTTGGATGCGCCTCAGGCGTGGGTACCCAACCTTTTGTGTATGTTTTAAATAGGGAATGAGGCCAGAAATCACACGAACAAGATCTCTTACAAACTGCGTGTGCTTAGTAGTATAGTAACACACCCCCCCCCCCTTTTTATTTTAAAACCCAGATGTTTTCTTTTAATGCGGTGACATTTGGGTGCCCCTTTCCAGCCTTATGCCTGTCAACCTTGTGATCCTTGTCAAGAACAAGTGTATATTAATAAATTACACCAAGTACGACTCCTGAGCACAGGCGCCGACACAAAGCAAATTTGGAGGGTGCCCGATGTGTGTATGTGTGTAGGGGATGAGAAAGGGGGCGGAGGGGGGTGCTCATGGGCTTGGTCTTTGTTGAAATTCGTAATGATGATAATGATGATGGGGATGATGATGATATGCTGCTTTAAAAATTTTAATAATAAGAATAATTCCCAATATTTCCCATCTAAAACACACGCCCAAAGTCACCCCCTCACCTCACATATGCGCATGATAGGTCATTCCTCCAATTACAGAGCAGAGGCAGAAGCACTTCTAGCAGCATGTTCTTTCCTGAATGGACAACAGCACAGCAAATATAACAGAGTGGTCTTTCTGACTGATGCTATGTCAGTTCTACAAGCAATTGTTAACCCAAAAGACACTCAGTTTGTAGACTTGACGCAACAGCTGATTTACTTAGGCTCTTCAGTAGAACAATCTGTACTGCAGTGGATTCCAGGTCACTGTGGCTTGGAAGGCAATGAAATAGCGGACAGATTGGCCAGAAGCGGCAGTGACATGGTACAACCAAATAGCGACTTAACCCACCAAGAGATGAAAACACTAATACAATCTAGTATCCAAGAAAGGTGGCTGGATACCCACACCAGATTTTCTCCCCAAGACTCACTTCATCGCCTCTCTAGAGAGGGACAGTCTATTATATTCAGACTAAGGACAGGGCACAACAGATTTCGTCAACATATGTTCAAATTTTTCGGTGTAGGAAATACGGAGACGTGTCCCTGCAGCGTGGCACCCGAAAATGCTGAGCATGTGCTCCAACACTGTCAACTGTATGCTGACAACAGAGACGCAATCTGGCCTGTTCCAACCACAATGAAGACAAAACTGTATGGTACACAAGAGGATATGGATTGCACGATAGCTTTCATAAAGGCTACCGGCCTCCTGATATAAGTTTTCTGACAGAAGGATCGAAGAAGAAGAAGAAGAAGAAGCTGCCCAAGTTGAACGACGTCGCGAAAACCGTTCTCTTTCATTTTAACAATGGGGTTATTTTCTAGGCAGCCTTCGTGCGCGCGTGTGTGTATATGTTTGTGTGTGTGCGTGCGTGCGTGTGTGTGTGAACTATTCATGCTACATAAGAAGGAACGCTTTAGGACCGGTCATCACATCAAAAGAAGAAAATATCAGAGACATGGAGTATGCTATCAGTAACGTATAATGCTTTATTTGCATGGTTCCTTCTATTCATATACAGTAAAGCCCGTTCATCCACACATTTATAATAATAATAAATAGACCTCTCTCTCTCTCTCTCTCTCTCTCTCTCTCTCTCTCTCTCTTTCCCTCTCTCTCTCTCTCTCACTCACTCACACACCCACCCACCAACACACACACACACACACACACACACACACACACACACACACACACACACACAACACTGCACAGCAGTGGGCATCTTATTGACTAATACTTAAATAGTATTTACAAAAATCATAAATATAGACAATATCTTATAAATTATATTAAACTGTAAATCCAAGAAAAATTTACACAGTGTTATATACAAATAAATTGGCATGATACTTGTCAGCACGCACAGAACGAATACACTTTGTATGTTTTACTAACAACGTATCTTATAACATTGAACAGCGTGCTTCTTCGCATCAAAGTTACCTAATCCCCCCCCCCCCCCACACGTTTCTTATGTTCCTTACTGTCAGCGACCTAATTTACTATATTCATTTTCTATGGTTCGCCATGTAGGCCAGCTAACAGACTTCACTACCCTGGACACACTCAAGACGCGCACCTGCTGAGTACAAACATAATCTTTAATGGACAATACAGCTAGAGACACCTCAACTAAGTTGGCAGTCCTTATCCGAAACGTTGGCGTTGAGCAGCTTTTACATTCACTGGTCAACCCAAGCCGTTCCCATGGATACCTAAGGACACGATTCCTAACTAACAGTTTATCAGTGCTAACTAAGCCACCGTCTATTGCCACACGGGACTCAGCGGCACACCTAAGGTGTATGGCCTAAGCGTGACTGGGCAGTGATACCGCCATTAACAATGCGAGTCACCCATTCACTAGCTGCTTAACAAATACTGCGTGGAACGTCTACTATACAAGGAACATTAACTCTACACTATCTCGTCGAAACATTAAATGGAAACGCAGCCTATCAAAGATACTAAACACAAAAACTATTCAAACTAGCCGTCACTAACCTAATGCACTTTTACCTAGTCAAAGCGCTACGTCTGGTCCAGTCCAGTCTCACTACACAACTCTCCCTCAGCCAGCTCTGTCAAAGCTTTTTGTTCCCCTCCTGCGTTCATCACTCGACACGCGGTAGTCCGTGTTAACCGTGTGAACTGGGCTTAGCCAGTTAACTCGACCCAGTTTATTCCGTGGTCAGGCTGCCCGCTCTCATATTGAGTTTTACTAAAGGTCAACTCGTTCATACGTGATGATTCACTATCATCAACTCTGTTCATCCCGTAGCCGAACTAGCCTCTGACACTTACCCAATACGCTTGAAATGCGTAGAAAGGGGTTCTTTACTTTTACGTTACCCTTGAAACTTTCTTTCGTTTTCTTTTAAGCGGAGAGGCAAGGAACGATCTGTGCATGATCTGTTTAATGCACGTAAATTCAAGTTCTGGAACAAGATAAAAGTCCAGAGGTAGCCGAACAACCAGAACTGTCAGCCTGTATAGCAGACAATACAAGTGTCCGTCTGCCACATTGTTAAATACTAGTGTTACTATAGCATTTTACGATCACATGGTTCCATTGTGTAATAATTATCACACCTGCCAAAGACGCAGAAGATCCTGAATTCAACGCGTCGGTAAAACGTTACTTAAATTTTTTTTCCATTGTATATATTCAGTTTCATCACTCTCTGTACTTTCAATTTAATGTTTTTTTTTTAAAGTAATAACAGGGTGTTTACTATTAATTGTGACTAAAGTCGTAGCCGCGATAGCATTTTGGTTAGATCAGTCTTTCCCACCTTGGATGGTACCATCCTATTTGTTGCACTTAGGGGCAATGACTAAACATACGCAGCGGTGAAGACAATGATGAAGCAGAGGGCGGGAGATTAAAACTGGGCGTTGCACAGCAATTAAATATAGTGTATTTGTTAGACCCTCTTTCAGCACATATGCTGAAAATATTATGAAAAACGCAATAAGTGATAAGGCCTGTGACAGCTTCGAACCACTTATAATTTGAAGCAAACTCATTCAGGCAAATAGGAATGATCACATGAAGAAGAAAAAATGAAATAAATATTCGCATAACAATTTTAAGTCAATGAATTTTACGATTTCGGCGATTCTACGGATCTTCTTTAGGTCTGATCTCGTCCCAGATTTGACTTCTCTGGCCTCATTCGTTTCTTAGCTTTCTTGTCTTCCAGGAAAGTGAAACGAGCAATTTGACAGTTACGCATGCTACCACACACATCTTGTTCCCTCAAAAGCGGGCAGTTTGCCCCTCTATTCCTGGGGTAGATAGAAATGTTCCGCGATCTCTCACGTTGCCCCAAGCCACAGGACCGGCTGCACGGATTCCATTCAGCCCATTGGCCAACATGACAGTCAACAGATGAATTCTCTAGAAGGGAGGAAATAGTCCATATTAATTCAGAATACAGTTACACACGAATAAGGTTGTTATATGAGGCAGAAACAAAATTAATAGATTACAAATATTGGTACTTAATTTATACAACCACATCTAGTCAGCTTCGAGATTTCGTAGCAAATTTCTAGGGATTTTTTTCGCCCGTCTCTCTAGCGTAGTTGGCTAAACCGCATTGCGCAGTGAGCGGGTGACGAACTCCTTGTGGTCCGGGTTCTCTCCCGGGGTGTGGGCAGAAAAGCCACATTTCTCCCAGAATTACGGTATTTAAAATGGAATCAAGGCCGAAAGATTGCGATATCCATAATACCAAGCCTAAGGGTTAACAACTCATGGCTTCTGGATACTAAAACAAACAAACAGGGATTTTTTTCTGGACAGTACCATATTATAGGGGTGTTAAGGTGTTAAACGAATACCTACGCGTTACTAAGCCTAACCCTAACCCCTACTCCCTCCCCACCCATGCTATGGGAGGTTCTGTAGATTTCCCAATCAAATTTTGAAGCCGACGAGATGTGGTCGTATAACATTTAAGTACCCAAATATAAAATAGCAGTCGCTTTTTTCGTTGTCCTCCAAAAAGTACTCAGAGAGAGTGGGAAAATCCACATTGGCCTCAAGTTTCGATGAAGGGGAAAATCCCGACTGCATCTCCTTGTGGTGGATGACGGAAACACACCTCGGTGTGGCTAACGCAATCTGGGGGACCCAGTATCCGCCGGAATAAGCGGACCACCCTGTGGTGTTATCTGCTGTTTGCAATAACATCGCAGAGAAGGGTACCCACTTACCCAGGCATTCTAAAAGATTGCTAAGGCTGAGATGCTCAGCCTTGTGGATGTGGAAAGCAAGGGGAGACTACCACATTATATATATATATATATATATATATATATATATATATATATATATATATATATATATATATATATATCCCTAGATAACCTAGTAAATTGGTTAAAGTAAAAATCTTGAGATCATGAATTATTCCTGTGGCAGCCTACGGTTGTGAGTCTTGGACTATCACTCAGTCACGGAGAAAAAAAGATTGCAGCTTTTGAATTGAAATGCTATAGAAAAATTCTCAGAATACCATAGATCAAGAAGAGGGAAAACATAGACATTCTGAACGAGTTGAACATCAGGGAGAACTGGCTCATAAACAGCATCCTGTCCCGAAAGTTGAAGTATTTTGGCCACACCCAAGCGTCATGGTGGCTTGGAAAAGACGATGATGGAGGGTGCACTTTGTGGAAGGCGAGGCAGGGGTCGACCACCGCGAAGATGGATACAAGGCATTGAAGACGCATTGGCATCGATAGCACATGGGACCGGAGAACTGGCTAGGGAAAGGGATACTTTCAGGCGTGCCGTGAAGAGAGCGACGTTCTGTAAAGGACTTGCTGATTGATGATGAGTCGCTTTTTAGAAAATCATAAAGTCTTCGGCTTAGAGGTTAGGAAAATGGTTTCACAATGAAATCCTCGAAGTATTTTTATTCTGGAAGTCCGGTTTGCAGCCGGAACTACTGAGTTTAGTGCTCCTGACGGCACCGTGAGCTGTGATTATCGATTATTGACTGAATTCCAGATTCGTACGTAATGGCAATGATGGGTGATGTATTTTTCTTCGTTGAGTTCCTAGGACAAGGCGTGTGCTATTTATTTTCTGGCCGTGGCTGCAACTTGGACAAGGACATGAGGCGAATGGTCATGAATACTTTTAATCTACTCATCGCCCAGCTATTCGTCGAATGAAGTTGATTTTTAGCAGCGTGTTTAAGGAGTTATGGTTTGCCAGATCAGATCGTGTGTCTTTTGCTGACTGAGGACACTTTGACTTTGTCTACAACATTCACTTGAGGTATTCGGCGTATATGACTCAGTTTGTGACTGGAATCACTGGCAAAGGCGGTTGAGTAATTATGGGCAAACCTTGTTTGCTGTGATGCCGGAACCGTAACGACTAACTAACTAATTAACTATCCTTGAAGTTTACCAGGGTTCGATTCCTGCAGTGGCCTGTTTGGCAAAAAAGTGCAAAAGAAGAAATTTGTTTCAGGCTGTGGTTCGAGAGTCACACTGTCGAAGAGAATTTGGTGCCTCACTACGAAATATTGGTGTAATAAGCAACGAATACATTGCAACCTACCTCCATTGTGGATACGGCACAAATATTTAGTACAAAGTCCTCACGACCAAACAAATATTTAACACGCACGCAAAGACACACACAGAAAAGAGAATGGCACACAGCATCGACATATAACTATGCTATCAGAACCAGGCACAGTAAAGCCTGGCGTTTAATATAATATTACTGATACTTAAAAAATCGACCAGGTTATGGGCTGCAATTACATGTGAGATCAAGCATTCTTTATGTGTTGCGTTATAGCTTGATGACAGACGATTAAGCAATCTGTTTGGTAACCCGCAGACTTGATTTCAAACTGGGCTGATAACATATGGTGCTATTAAGTGTTGTAGCTGTAAATTACTTTATAACAGGAAACCGCTATTATTGGGATAATGTTTAAAAGCATTCTGCCAGAAATTACAGTCAACAGTGTTTGGAGTACCTGAACATTATTTTTCTTCATAAATGATTTTCCATATATTGCAAATGCCATTGAAGGGTCGGAGTAAGATTGTTACATCAAACATTCGCGAGAACGCCATTTAATTAGTTAGTCGAGGTTCTGACATCACAGCATACGGGTGGCCCCATAACTGTTCCGTTCTTGTGTCAGTAGAAATCCCACAAACTGTCCTTCACTGACCCATTTGAAAACTAGTAAACAACTTTTCAATCACATCAAAATCCTGAATCTTGCACACGCAAAGTAAAAATATAGAAGGCAGCTGTCAGATGAGCAAACACCCACAGTCCAGCATCAGGATTACAGCTCACTGTTTTCGCAGCTCCTCAATCGCAAAAGTCGGAATTGCACCAGCAAAAGTGCATGTCACCCTCTGTTTTGGTGCAGTCAACAACACGCCGCAGGCACAATAGAAAAAAAAAACACATTCTACAAAATCCGCAGCTCACAGCGTCGCACCAAGCATTTAGCTCAGTAACTGGGCGACGGAACATTTGGACATCCGATCCAGAAATGGGGAATTAGCATATGCAAAACCTGACTGGAAACAAATAACTTTTCAAAGCGTCAGCGATCAGTCGGGTATATGTCATTTTAGCTGAAATCCCTGCCCCCTCCCCTCATTATGAATCGAGAATGGCCTTCACTTTCCAAAACATTTGTTTTCACCCATGTTAGGCTAGGTCAGTAGAGATTTATTTGAACATATGAAGATTGGACTGCCTATCATGCGTCAGCTATTTTATGTCGCTAAAATATCATTTCTCTTTTCCTTGTGGTAATAATGAGTTATTTATAAACAATGTGGTCCACCATCATAATGTGAACAACGGCCTATCCATTCTTATCTCCCCGAGGCCACTATCCTTGTCCTGGATAACGTTCTTCGCAATGTGTCCAAAAGAAGCACTGAAATGGGGAACAGACGATCTGAGAAAAAGATTACGTCCAAGGGAAACATTAAAAAGAACATTATTACGAGAAGCTAAAAATGATGGGCTGAACTCGATGACAGAAATCGAGAGAGTTGCATGCAATAGAGCGGAGTGGAGAAAGCCAATGCGAGCACTGTGTGACGTCTAACGGCACACAAGGGATGATTATGGTGATGTTAATAAATATGTATCCACGCTAAGGCATTATTAGACCAAACGTCAAAATCCCTCTGTCTGTTTGTTCTATTTCGACTGTTGATCTTTACAAACCTATGGAACAGCAGCTGCACGCGATTTTAAGTAAAAATGTTCATATCACGCATCTTTCCCGGTGCAACTTGTGAACGTGAGTCACGAATTCTTACTTAATCACTAACGAAAGCATCAGTGCCTTTGAACTGAAATGCTACAGAAAAATGCTTAAAACACCATAGATCAGGATTTAAAAAAAAATGTTCTGAAGATCGATGAGATCTGGCTCATAGACAGCAATCTCTTTAAAATGCTGTGGTATTTTAGTCAAATTACACTTCATGGTAACCTAAAGAAAATGACAATGGCGAGTACCGTTTACGGAAAACGATGTTGGGGCAGACCTCCGTGAATACAACGAGACATTAAAGACGCATTGGCTATGAAAGCACTTAGGGTTGGAGAACTGGCTAGAGAAGGAAAGACTGTAAGACGTCCCGTGAGAGAGTGTCGTTCTGAAAAGGGCCTGCTGGGTGAGGATGATACTCTTTACAGTTGTCACCGTGTTCTTCAACTAATGGTTAGTTGCGTATCCTTTACAGGACGTTGCAGAAAAAACCCCAACAGCCTCTGGCTGTTGGGTGGTTTTTCTAGGCAAATTTAGGTGCAGTTGTTTGCCATTGCTTACAGGACGGTCGGCTTTCTTGATACCGCTGTCGAAATCAGCGCAAGGCGCATGGCCTGCAGCTGGGATCGAACCCGGCACCACCGCATTACGAAGGTTTTTCAACTGCTCTCTGTTTATTTCACACACACGATGAGGCATTGTTACTAGTTACTCTGACAGCCCAAAGCAATCAAATCATAAATCTCACAAATAAATTCTTTGCCGTCTACAAGCTTGTCCTAATTTCTTTATTAGCTCTCCAATATTCACTCCCACACAGCAAAAGAAATTCCTGTATTACACAATTGACCAACGCGTACCCATGGTCTACTTGCCAAAGAGGTATCCTGCAGTGGTCTCTACCATATCTCGTTTTCTTTTTAAGTCAATTTTATTGATTTGTTCAGGACCACTACTGCTTCATAAAATGTCAATACATTTTGTTCCCTGCCATTCATCGAAAATAAATTCTGAGCGTCGTCGTCGTCATCACCCTGTTCTGCAATTGAACGTTAAACAGAGCTTCGGTTGTGAGGTTAAGCAGTCATGGGCAGGACGTGACGATTCCTTGGGT